GAGGTGAGTGCCCTCGGGCTCCGCACAGGGGGGACATGGCCCGGGCCTGGCCGACCGGGCGGAGGTCCCTGCGGCTGGCTCTGTCCCAGCCGTTGGCAGGCGGGCGGGGCCCCCACCTTGAGCGCACGCGGCCTTTGCCCCAGTTCTGCTGTTCCTCGCACCTGCCCCGCCCGGCCTGGCCTTTCAAGGATCCCCGCTCCCGCAGATATCCACGTCTCCTTTTGACCCCTACCGCCGACCCCGTTCTGACGGCTGCATCTGCATCTCCCTCCCCTCATTTGGCCCCAGCGGGGGTTGAGGCTGCGCCCTTCCTCGGGAGCCAGGCCTGACTGGGATTGCACCAGTCTCGCGTTTGGCCAGCTCAGCCCCTCTCAGCCTCAGTTGGTACGTGTGTGAAATGGCCACAGAGCAGCATTACTATTTTCAGAGATTTGTTGTTGGAAGGACTAGATCACAGGGCATGTAAAGCTCGTAGTAGTGTCTGGCGTGTAACAGGTGCTCTGTAAATGTTCGCGATTGGTTAATACGGTACCTTTTCCATCTTATCATTTGTCTCCAGCTGTAGCAGCAGTGACACGTATGGCTAAGGCTTCCTTTGCCTGGTCCACTTACCCTGAATTATAACAATAAAAGGAACCTTACTGAGAACTATGCTAAGTGCTAGTTAGTATTTGTTTAATCCTTCCACCCTCAGGAGCTGAATACTATCGTCCTCCACATTTTATGGAAACTGAGGCTTCGTGAAGTTAAAACCCTTGCCTAAGGTCCCAGAGCTGGGGTCTTATTCTTACTGGTATTCTACAGAGGATTGAATGACATAGTGTATATAAAGGGTTTAGCAAGAATGGCAAACATTCAGTTAGTGTGGGGTCTTCAACGGTGGCACCATTGACATTTTGGGCTGATAATTCTTTGTTGTGGGGGGCTATCCTGTGCCTTGTGGGATGTTTAGCAGTATCCCTAGCTTCTGTCCACTAGATACCAATAGCATTACCCCCTCCGGTTGTGACAATCAAAAATGTCCCCAGACATTGCTAGTTGTCCCTCAGGAGACAGAATTCTTTATGGTGGAGACCCACTAAGTGAATCACTATTATTATTTTTATTCCAGAACTCTTGCTTTCTTCTTCCACTGACTCCTGCTCTTCTTCCTGGCAGCTCTCAGTCCTCAAGACAGGCGATGGCTACATACTATCTACCAGTCTGTGGAACTGCCTGAGACACACCAGATGTTGCGTCAGACATGCCGGGACTTTGCCGAGAAAGAACTGCTTCCCATTGCGGCCCAGGTGGACCGGGAGCATCTCTTCCCAGCGGCTCAGGTGAGAGTATAATTATAGCAACCCACAGTGGTGGTCTGCCTTTGGCTTTAGGATGAGTGGTAGCAGTGATTGCCAGGAGCGCTGGACCCCAGCTGAGGAACCCTAAAGCAGAACCTGGGACTCAGGAAATGCTCTGGGGTGTTTCCTTTGTTCAGCACATGGCCAGTGGCCATTACTTTCTGAAATGATTGCAAGGATTATGGCCGGATTTACTTCCAGAACAACAGTAATATATGGTGGATGGTCAATATTCTCACTGTGTGCCAGGCACTGTGCTAGTAGTAATAGTGAACGCTTGCAGAGTGCTTGCCAGTGTTCTAAGTGCTTGAGATGAGTTATCTTCTTTGTTCCTCACACCAGTCCTATAAGGTGAACTTACTATTGTTATAGTTAATGAAATGTACAGTATACAGTATACCCTATCTTACAGTTATGAAACTCACACTTATGAACAGGTTATGGAACCAATCAGCTTCAGAGCTCCGGCTTGAACTGTCTTCTCTCAGACCCTGAGTTCTCCATCAGTGCACTCCCTCCTGTGCTGTTGTGCTCTTCCATTTGCATTCATCCATCTACAGTTATATTAAACATATGTTTAATATGCTACTGCTATATCCCCTGACCTGGCAAAATGTATGGCACGTGGTATAAACACTAAATTGATAGTTGTGAAACCTTTCTGGCCTCTTCTTGCCTGCTTTTCAGTCTGAGGAATTCAGGAGTTATGGTTTCCACTTACATATCTTGGAAGCTTAGGGGCCACTCCTCCAGCTTCATGAATTGTGTGTGTTCAGTGTGTTAGGCATTGTGTCTGGACTGTGAGAATACCCAAGGAGGTCAAAGTTGAGTAGGCGAGTGGTATTCTGGGCACCAAAATTAGTTGGGCAACTTTTAGGAATTAGACATTTAGCATGTGTCATCTGATTTAATCCTAAAGACATCCCTACCTAATCTGATCTCCACTTTGCTTTCTAAAGTGATTGCAAGGATTAAGTGAGAAAATGTATGCCAAATTCCTGGTGCCTGGTACTTGAAAAATGGTAGCTATTAATACTATTATTGTTATTCTCATTACAGTTAAAGACATTGAGGCATAGAGAAACGAAGTAACTTTCTAAGGATTACTGGTCTGCAGAACTAAAATTCACAGCCCAAGTGTGGCTGGCTCCAAAACCCTTCTCTATCCACTGTCCACATGACTGTCCCAGAAGCCCTGCTGGCAGGCAAGGAAGCCCTATTCTAGTTGGGAGCGTAATTGTGGGACTTCAGCTCCCCCTCCACTCCATCCTGCGCACAAACACACACACTCTGAGCATGCGCACATGCATTACTCTCAGTAATCTTGGCTGGTACTACCCCTTCACCTTTCATTGCCATTAGTGGAGAGGTGAAAGTACTCAAAATCTTTGTGAGTAGAGGAAAGGAATTAGCAGACAGGCCACTGAAAAGCAGGAATAGCTGAGAGGAGCCGTCACTCAAGACCACTGTCCAAGAAAGGACAGTGTGTTGGAGCTCTTTGTACCACGTGACAGACTGCCTGATTTGTTTTTCCTGTATTGTTTATTCTTTTAAATTATCTCTAGATGTAGACACAGATTTACTCTGGACAGGAAAGCTGGCAGTAGAAGCAAGACTTTTTACCAGGCTACTTTAACTGGTCCTATCCTTCTTGCTCTGTGGAGCTGGAGAAGATGCAAGATAATCCTCCAAATGGTGGCAGAAATGGTTTTGAAGGGGGATGTCAGGATAGCAACCTCTTTCCCTTCTGGCATGTGGGGCTGTGCAGTAAGGATTTGCTGAATGTGTGAAGGTAGCGGACAGCAGTGGGAGCATCTGTATTGTGTTTTATCTTTCACAAGGTGTTTTCACATCTGTAATCTCATTAGATCATCACAAGTCCTCCTATTATTATCCTTGCTGTATAGGCGATGAAGGAGCCATTGTATGAATTTGTCTTCAGTTTCAGAACTAGGGAGGAGTAGCACTGAATTTTCTAATCTTTCTACGGTTGCACATGAGCTGGACTCTGCTTTGGGCAGAAGTTATTTCGCACTGTTTGCTTCTCATAGCTAAGGATTAAAGGTTGTTGGCTTTCTTTTTTTATCCCTGGCACTGTGTGTGGCACAGCTCCCAGTTACAATAGGGAATCCAAGGAGAAAGCGGGCAGAAGGGTCAAAGAACTAGATATGCATGGATAATATGGCACATGCAAAATTCAGTGTAGTACAGTTAGTATCTCAAAATTCGAAAGGTATTAACATCAGTAAGTAACATTTGATGATGACTTCTGGTACTTATATGTATATTTAACTCATTAAATCTTCAACACTAGGTACTTAACTGTCTCCAGTTTTCAGATGAGAAACTGAAGCCAGAGATTGTTTCTTGCTCGAGAGTCACACTGTTGACAATTAGAGGAGCCAGTTATAGACTTCTAAGCCACCTTCTGGCCTGTAATCACAGCACTTTGGGAGGCCAAGGCTAGAGGATCTCGAGCACAGGAGTTCCAGATCAACCTGAGCAACAGCAAGATTTTTGTCTCTACAAAAATTTTTTTAAAATAGCTGGGTGTGGTGGTGCTGCCTATAGTCCCAGTTACTTGGAAGGCTGAGGTAGAAGGATCGCCTGAGCCCAGCTGGTTGAGGAACTGTGATCACGCCACTGCACTCCAGTCTGGGCAGACCCTGACTCAAAAAAAAATTTTTTTCCCCCAAAAAAGTGGGTTTGTAGGGGAAAGAATTGAGAGGAGAGCAGGCCAAGAATTAGGTGGAAGCCTAGAATTTCTGCTTACTTGGATGGTTTTGTAATCTGATTGAGCTGATTGTCCAAGCAAACAAGCAAAACAATTATGAATTTACAATGTCATTTTGTTATAAAGAGAAACAGGAAATAGAATGATGTTTCCAATGGATTTTTAAATTTTTTTATTTTGTTATTTGTTAATTTTATTATTTTATTATTTTGTAGAAACAGAGTCTTGCAATGTTGTCCAGGCTGATCTTGAACTGTCCTCTAATGATTGTCCTACCTCAGCCTCCCACAGAACTGGGATTATGGTTGTGAGCCATTGTGCCTGGCCTATTTATTTATTATTATTATTATTTTTTTTTTTAGAGCCAGGGTTTCACTCTTTTACTCAGACTGGAATGCAGTGGTACAATCATAGCTCATTTCAGGCTCAAACTCCTGAATTCAAATGCTTTTCCCGCCTCAGCCTCCCGAGTAGCTGGGACTTTGGGCATGTGCCACCATACCTAATTTTTCTTTTCTTTTTTGGAGGGATGGGGTCTCACCGTTGTTACCTGGGCTGATTTTGATCTTCTGGCCTCAAACAGTCCTCCTACCTCTGTCTCCCAAAGTGGTGGAATTACAGGTCTTCAGTGGATTTTGGACTCCTTTACCTTGAAATGTATATGTGTATATTTATGTGTATAAAACTGAGCCCAGTTTCTTCTCATTTGCTCAGCTTTTCCTCTTCTGGCCCTGATTATTTTGAGGCTAACCTAGTTAGCCATATAGAAACCTCTAGAGTCACCTCATTTTTCTTCTCCCTCATGCCTATTGACTGTCATTAATTCCATTCCAACCTGAATGCCACCTTTTCTCATTTATCCCAACCAGAATTCCTCTCTGTGTTCTAGGAGCATTCCATTTGTGAACTGTAGTTGTGTTTATCGTATGGTCATGTCTTATGTCACAGTTTATTCAGTCAGCTTCCTGAAGGCAGAGATTGGATCTTGTTTGTATTTGTATCTTCCTGTTCAGCATGACACTTTGCACTTAGCAAGCAGTCAACAGATGTTTGTGGAGTTTTATAGATTTGAAGCCAATGATATGACTCAATATGCATCAAGGCCTGAATGTCACTGTTGTTCCAGCATGTGGCACAGATAGTGAGTGGGGTCCCGAGGAGGCAGTGGTATAGGACCTCTGTCCGTGTGTGGTTATCTCTTGAATAAGCAGTAAGTCTTCATCAAGTTAGGTTATTTTATTCTTTCTTTCTTTTTTTTAAATAGGATTTTACCCTGTCACCCAGGCTGGAGTGCCGTGGTGGTGTCACAGCTCATTGCAGCCTTGAACTCCTGGGCTTACGCAATCCTCCTGCCTCAGCCTCCCAAGTAGCTGGGCCTATGGATTCATACCACCATGCCCAGCTAATTTCTTTCTTTCTTTCTTTCTTTTTTGGTAGAGATAAGGTCTTACTTTGTTGCTCAGGCTGGTCTCAAACTCCTGACCTCAGGCAATCTTCCCACCTTGGTCTACCAAAGTGCTGGGATTATATGTGTGAGCCATCATGCCTGGTCAATTTTATTCTTTAAAGTGAGTTAGGCATCTAGCCTGGGCAACATAGCAAGACCCCATCTCTTTAAAAAAAAAAAAAAAAAAAAGTGAGTTGGTTTTGACTGTAGTGAATATAGGCATACTCAGGATAAATTTAATTTTTAAAAATGTGAGTTTAATAGCGACTTAAGACATTGTTTTCATATGAGGTACCCTATAGCCGTTTCCCAAATATGAAGGCAGCAGATGCTAAAGGCTTGACTAGTTTATCACTGCTGAGAAAGGAGTCTTATTCTTTCTCATGCTTTCTCTTGGAGTTTGGAGATCACTAGGCTCGCTCAGTCAGCAGTGTTGTTACCTGTCTCAGGGTGCAGGTTTTTGGTTAACAGACACCAGAGACTAAGAGTCACCATTGTGCGTTGCTCTTGGAGGTCACCCTGGAGATAGCTCTGAAGGTCGGGCCTCTCTGTGGACAGTGCTAAAATATTGAGGGAGCCCTGGTTTCTGTTAGCTGATTACCATCAACTTACAAAGGTCAGAAACTATGTACAAAACAACCAACTACCTACTTTTTTTTTTCTCAGCTGCTTTTCATTTTGTTTTTCGTTTCATCTTTTTAAAAATAATTAATTAATTAATTAATTAGAGTTGGAGTCTCACTCTGTCGCCCAGACTGGAGTGCAGTGGCCGCTCCTGGCCACCGCAGCCTCAACCTGCTGGGCACCGGCGATCATTCTGCATCAGCCTTCCAAGTAGCTGGAACTACAGGCGCGCACTACCACGCCCAGCTAATTTTTGATTTATTGTAGAGATGAGGTCTCTCCAAGTTGCCCAGGTGGGTCTCGAACCTGCAGGCTCAGGCAATCCACTTGCCTCGGCCTCCCAAAGTGTTGGGATTACAGGCTGAGCCACTGAACCTGGCCAAAAATTTTAAAATTTTTAATAGAGATGAGGTCTCTCCATGTTGCCCAGACTGGATTTAAACTCCTGGGCACAAGTGATCATCCCACCTCAGCTTCTCAAGTAGCTGGAGATCTGTATGTTTCTCGCTCCAGGTGGAATATGGTCCAGCAGCAGAGATATTCCTTGATAAAGTACTATTTTCATCTGGAAGAGGTTTGTCAGCTGCCTTAAGTGTGGGCCAAAACGGTGTTCTGTTTGGAGGCCACATTTGTGCTGCCAGAGGACAGAGTCTCTAGGTTTTCTTCGTGGTCAGATACCACAGAGACTACTCTCCACCTGAGACTTCCTTCTTCCCCAGTTGATTCCTACCTGCTGGGATGGTGCACATTTCTGAGCAGCACCACCCTTTTTCCCTCCAAGTGTGTGGTGGCCATCGAGTGATAATCCTTTTAGTGATTCTCAAAATAACATATCTTTAGTTGCTCTGAGTCCCCATTTGTTGTCACTGTGGATACTTTTCCTTTGCCCTCTGTAACAAATGACTGCAATCTCAGTGGCTTAAGACAATACAAATTTTTTTTTTGTTTGTTTTTTTGAGTTGGAGTCTCACTCTGTCACCCAGACTGGAGTGCAGTGGCCGCTCCCGGCCACCGCAGCCTCGACCTGCTGGGCTCCAGCGATCCTTCTGCCTCCGCCTTCCAAGTAGCTGGAACTACAGGTACGCGCTACCACGCCTGGCTAATTTTTTGATTTATTGTAGAGATGAGGTCTCGCCAAGTTGCCCAGGTGGGTCTCGAACCCGTGGGCTCGGGCAATCCACTCGCCTCAGCCTCCCAAAGCATGGGATTACAGGCTGAGCCACCGAGCCCGGCTGACAATACAAATTTATGGTGGCTGTTTTGGAGGTCATAAATTGAAAGTGAGGGCTGGGCATGGTGGCTCATGCCTGTAACCCCAGGCCGAGGTGGGAGGATTGCTGGAGTCCAGGAATTTGAGACCAACCTGGACAATATAGAGAGACCTCGTCTCTACAAAAAAAAAAAAAAAATTAGCCAGGCATGGTGGCACACACCTCTCTGAGCCTCCATTTCCCAAGCTGTGCTAAGGTTAACATATAGTGTCATTCTCTCGGTGCTATAGAAGGACTCAAATGAAAGAATATACATAAAGCACTTTGTACAGAATTTGGCACTTAATAGGCTCCTGATTATTAACCATTACTACTTTTATGAAATTCACTACTGTTAGCCGTGGTTGGTGGCTCAGCCTATAATCCCGCACCTTTGGGAGGCTGAGGTGAGTGGATTGCCTGACCCCGCGGGTTCGAGACCTGCCTGGGCAGCGAGACCTCATCTCTACAATAAATCAAAAAATCAGCCGGGCGTGGTAGCGCATGCCTGTAATTCAGGCTACTTGGAAGGCTGAGGCGGAAGGAT